AAATCAAAGGTGACCCAAGCTTCCATGCCAAAGGCAAAGGTCTTCAGACTTGGTGTCAAGAGCAGTTGAAAGCCATTGCCAACCTTCGATCCTATGTCGCAGCCAGTGAAGATCTTGCTCCTGAGGACACTTCTCCTGAAAGCCTTTCGAAATCATTGCCTGCTGCCAAAGCGTGGCTTGCTTCCAGCCAAGAGAAGCTGCAAGAAGCAAAAGCCAAGGTGAAAACTCACCAGGCATTGCTGTAGGAGCTGTTTTACCCTTAGATTTTGGAAAGCGCATTTGGTGCAGTTGTCAGTTTTGGAATGTGGAAATGCAGATTAAAATATCGCAGGGACCTGCTTGGAAGATGCGCAGCTGGTAACTGTCGCTGGAAAAAGAGCCTGCTTCTAAGCTGGTGTACAAGACTCAAGGAGGTGTAAGATCTCCTTTACTGTTTCCCTGTTTCAAAGCATTGGCCAAATTTAGCATCAACTAAATACAATGTGTAACTTCTTGTCTTCTGAGATCTTATGAACTTTTATGTTGACATGTTTTTCCAGCTCAAGCCATGTTTCACAAGAGAAAGGTAGATTTGTCTACCCTTAGGGAACCTGACCAGAAGAGGTTTCGACACAATGTGTCCAATTTGTTTTTGACCAAGACTGTCTCTGCTAGAAGAGCCAATGAGCTCATGAAAGATGCACAAATAGCTGGAGCCGCTGGTGTGAAAGATTTGGTCAAAGGTGCAGAGAAATCTGGCAGTGGTGAGAAGCAAGCCAATTGGGAAAAGAATTTGGCAAGGGATATGAAAAGAAAAATGTTGAAGAACTGCCTGTGGTTCAATGAATACATTGCATTGATCCCTTGCTACAATCCTGAAACACAAGCAGAAGAGATGAAGAAGATACCTTTTCTTTTGCCACATGAGATTCATTTTGTCTTCTCGAAGCGCTCTGAGAAGAAAGACTTGCTGCAGACTGGTGGCATGTGTGAACTCAGCAAAAAACATTTGGCGAACATGCAAATGCAGTTCCAAGTTCGAGAAGCCATAGGACTTGGCCTTTGGATCGATGGCACACCTTACAATTATGACAGAAGTCAAACTTTGGAATGCATCTCATTGAATTTTCCTGGCTTACTTCCACCTAATGGTACTTTGCGAATCCCTTTGTGCTGTATTCCAAAGCACTGGTGCATCAAGGGAGTAACTTTGTCGAAGATGTTAGGAATTTTGTCTTGGTCTTTTATTCACTTAGCCAATTGCACTTGGCCTTCAGCAAGGCATGATGGCAGCTTTTGGCACCCAGGCGACAAAAAACGAAGCACATTCAATGGCAAGGCATTGCCTTTCACTGCTTTTTTACTTGAAGTGAGAGGTGATTGGGCTATGAGAAAAGAAGTTTTCCAATTTCCTGGATGGCGAGACAAACAAGGATGCTGCCATTTGTGCTTGTGCAAACCAATTGAAATTCGAAACTTTGAAAGCTGCAAGGCATTTGATCCTTTGGACCATTTCACTTTGTTGCAATCCATTTCCAATTCTGGCATTGACATCAATGAATTGTTTCAAACACCAGGACTGACAAGCAAACAATTTCTTTTGGACTGGCTTCACATTGTGGACTTGGGCGTGGCAGCAGATTTTATGGGCAATGTTTTTCACCATTTAATTGCCTCTGGAAATCACTTGCCTGGCAACAATGTCAAAGAAAGGGTGAAAAGCTTGTTCCACAGAATTCAAAGCTACTACAAGACTGAAGGTGTGGAAAACAGGCTTCCTACTTTGACAGTCCTCATGATCAGAAAGAAAGCCAGTTCAAGTCCAAAACTTCGAGCCAAAGCTGCAGAAGCTCGAGGGTTGATTACTCTTGCAAAACAAATCTGCGATGAATTTTTGGCTGATGACAGTGTGTTTGAATATACAATCAAGATGGCTGCCACAGAACTGTGGCAATGTTATTCTTTCTTGTCCAAGAATCTATGGAATCACCAGTCAATGCTGCTGCCTGGCAGAAAGTTTTTGCTGTTGTGCAAGAGCTTGGAAAACGAGACTGACCATACTTGGAAGATCAAACCAAAGCACCACAGCTTCTTAGATTTATTGCTCCAGAACTCTTGTCCATCAGACAGTTGGACATATCGAGACGAAGACTTTGGTGGCTTCCTAGCTCACTTAGGAGCTGTGAAAGGTGGAAGCCACAACCCTTATTCCATAGGCATGAGTGTTCTGCAAAGTTTTCGAGCACAAGTGATTCCAGAGCTGAAGTGAAAAGTTTTGCTGCCAGGATCTGGGATAAGGAGGTTTCAAGTCTCCTGCTGAAGGAGGTGCAAGATCTCCTTGCAATTGAAAATTTAAGGAGGAATTTTAAGGAGGAATTTTTCAAAAATTCCACCTTAATTTAAGGAGGAATTTTAAGGAGGAATTCCTTAAATAAGGAGGAATTCCTTAAATAAGGAGGAATGGAAGTTCTGGGTATAGGCTTTCAACCACCCTTTTGGTGGTGCAGGATTTCGCAACCATCCACCGTATGTCTTACAGTTCACCATTTCTGGATGGATTTCCTCCGCTGACCTGACTGGATAGAGTCATGGACAGAGTTATCCGATAAGGGATCAACAAATTGGTAAAATATATTGGTATATATACTGGTAATTATATGTATTACATAGTGTTAAATCAGATCACATTATACTATATGATATAATATATATATATATGATATATAATATATATATAATGTATATATATATAATATTATTTAAAACAATATAATAGGACATAGTATGTGCAATATAATATCATATTTTTTTTGTGATCTAATATGACACTATGTAATACACTGTAAAATTAGATAATGCAATATTATACTTAAACAAACATGTAATATTTGAGTATATATCTACTATATTGTAAGATAATAAAACGTAACTAGATATAATTTGATACATTACAAATTAATACAACACATAATATTAATGAAATCTTGATATATCTCTTAATATTATATTGGACGTCCAAATTTGGGTGTTTTTTGGGGAAAGGTTGTTTTTACCACAGTAAAATACAAATTTGTGTTTCATTTCGATCGGATAAGCAAGTTCAAATCCCTCAAAAACTTGAAGCCACCAGGGTTCACCAGGGGATGCTTCTAGATGGGTCCCTCGGATCAGTTTGACCATATATTGACCATTTCCATTGGATGTCCCTTGGTTTATCCAACATATATGAATGCAACCAAGTCACAGACCAGAACTCAGTAGACATCACTCCGTCCCATCGATTGTGATTGAATTGCACATATGTGTCATTGAGTCATTTATATGGTTGGTGTTTGTTTTGTTAGTGATCACATCAAGCAGGTGTGCAACGAATACACTACGAATAGAATTCTCACAGTATACTCAGTATACGCAGTCATACGCCGACGGTTTGTTTTCCCTCACACGTACTGTCGATATCACTTGCAACGCGGCCGCAGCGAAAACGACCTTAGCCAAAGCAGCATGTGATGTCCAATGATTAACCACGCGCAATAATCAAACTGAGAAGAGCTGCAGGCGGTAAGTAGTAAGACTTACCAATGCGGTCGGAAATGATACACTAGATGTTGTGCCTTTGGGTGCAACATATCCCTGTGATATCCGGCAGTGACTGGTATGCCAGAAAGATGATACCAAATAATAAGGTTGAATTAAGTCGGATGAAGCAATCTCTTCTTGTTTCGTTTTTCCCTTCTTGTTGCTTGTTGTCACACTGGGTACCGTATGGAGCCAGTACCAGTGGTCACCGCCCGCTTTAGGCGCTCTCAACAACCCTATTGGACAAGACATCCAACAACAAAACTACTCCTACATAATCCTAAGATTCCTGACGTGTAGGCCTTTTGCCTATCAGCCAAGGTGTGAGTAGCTAAACACAAAACATTTCAACATGCCCATTCGGGTGTGTAGCAATTCATTTTGAATCGTCTTGTAGCAGTCAGCACTCAGCACAGCACAACATAGCGCGTAGCGATTCAACTCGACAACACAAAACAAAATAAGTTGAAGCTGTGGCAAATATCAACCGAAGCATGAATGACTGGTGTATTCTCAGATGATAGTATGAGATTTGAAGTGATTTGAGTTGGCGTTGGAATAAATATATTTTGCCAGGACCCCACCCAGCACTGTTGATCAAAGTGTGACTAGCGCATATGTTGATGTGCCATGTAGTGCCCACAACCTATCCTCTGGTCACTCATTTCACCAAGTGTGCCGCATCCTTCGGGGTTTTGAGGGTCAACGATGTTTGGGATGACTGATGCTGGCCATGACCACGATGTTGCGACATCATGCCCACAGCACCACGTGAAACCCGACATTCCTGCATTGAAGCAAAGATGGATGGGGTAGATGTTGAAGCAGCGGATGCAGCCTCTGGAATTGCGCTGCTCATGTCGTCAGCCTTCCTTTTCTTCACGGCTTTGAACTTCTCACCAGGCCTGAGTTGGACATTAACTGATTCGCCCTCACATCCGCACGCAGCTACATAGCCTTACACAAACATACGTGTTCAAGTTACATGTAGCTATGTGCTGAGCTGTGCATGTTGGTGAGTGAGACAAAAACTGGTCCTTACATCATGAATACATGAGCATCCATTACCGATGTGATATCTGATATGTAAGTGTAAAACCAATAATGGTAATAATAATGGTGCAATTGCGTGAATATGCCATATGAAAACTCAAGGAAAGCACTGAAAGCAACATCATGAAACATCAAAACTATGCGATGTCACGTCACAATACCAGCCACCTAACAGCAGTCACACCATAGCAACTACCACAGGCCACAATCCAGTATCCAATCCACTGTTTGTTTGTCAAACTTGTATAAATGTAAATCAAGTAGTTTATACCGGCGATTTCGCAATTGCAGTATAATATGCTAACATTCTCGTAGCTTTGGTAAAACCCAAGTCCCAAAACTAACTCAACCACCAACAAACATACAACCTACAACCCCATCACAACCAGTCAATCGAGATACAAAAGCCCTCGCTTCAACACTGCGTAGCACTGTCCATTGATCTCCTTCACAAATGCAAGCGCGTTGTCGATCACCTTGAGAAAGGGCACGTCCACTTCCAAAGACACCTGCTGGTTCCCACAGCACACATCACACTTGACTACCTCAGTAGCATACTCCAAGACCGATCGTCCATTTTCATCGGCAACACATGGAATCATCCATGCAGGGCATGGCATAGGAACTTCAAGACCAGTCACTGATGTGCCGTCTAGACCAAACTTCAGTCCTGCTCCTCAAGCCGAGAAAAGCAAAACAGCCAAGACAGTCCAAGACATAAACAAATGAGAGTCTTCAGTTGGGTCAAGCTGGGTCACTATATGTCGTAAGTTTACACACGCACGACGCACAACTATGGTGAAATCAAAATCAAGTGAGCAGGAAAATGAACACGGGAACTGGTAAGTGGTGTTCTTTATCTTTGTGTTCGATTGTAAACTAAGCTGCAAAGGTCCTGTGTGCCAATGGGTCTTGAAACTATAACTATTAATTTTCATGGTGTAATACAAGTATCAGTAAAGACCATAGGTACTAAAGTGAGCCGAGATTCCCAAGTCAGTAGGTCCTTGCTCAGGCATGTCCTTGTCACCCTTGTCACCTGCGTCGCCATCCTGAACGTCCTTGCCCTCGCTCTTGCCACCGTTGGCAACAACAGCTGGTACACGGCGGACATGTAATGGAACAGATGTCACAGGCTTCCCTGGACCCCACTGCGCACTGGTACGTGAACGTGCTGATGTCGCACCAGCTTCCACAGCTTCCATGATGTAGTCACCTCGTGTTGAATCTTCAACAATTTTCAACAGAGCTCAGCTAAATTGAACAGTTTGACCCAGTTTGACGCTGACAAGGTATGTTAAACACATATGTTTGATTTTCAGATAGATTCCGGCATAGTATAGCCTCAATGTGTTCAAAGTTTGTTGAACTTATAGTCAAAAAGAACAAACACGGCGCATGAAGATAAAGTAAATTTCATACAGGCTACCAACTGTTCCGGTGAAGTATAACTTCAACTCCTTCGGTAGCCTGTACATGATCTTGCTTGGCAAATTCGCGAACCGAAGGATACGTTCTTCACTCTCCGTAGGGTCAAACAGTAGCAAAACCTCACCTTCATGTTTTTTTTGAGCACGTGTTCCCGTACTTGTCGGGTCATCATGAGCCACATGCACGACCAAGTTCTGGTACCATTGTTTCATTGACTTCGATGAATGGTTCAGAATGGCTTTCTCGATCTCAAGCTCAATGCAACGGAGAGTGTCAGCTGACAGCAAGCCGTCATCAAAGCCGAAGTTCAACAGGTCAAACCACTTGAAGACAGAATCCTGCACTCTTTCACCATCGTCATCTCCACCATTCGCATCAGGATTCTTCCCATCCCCTACATCCAAGCCACTCGATGTTCCAGTGCCTGTCACAATGGTAACATTGCATGAATTGAGGACATTGGGCACATCCAAAGTAGCGTTCACCAGCAAATCCTTGATGGCCATCTGCCACACAGCAGTGAAAGCTTCATATGAAAGGAGACATGAATCCATCAGAGCCAACTTCTCCCTCATAGTAGAGGATTCAAACTGATGAAAAATCGCATTCAGGTTGTTGGATGTCTGCGAAACAAGCGTGACCAAGAGCTGCATGATGTACATGGCACGGATTTTCAAAAGCGATGCTGATGTCTTGGCAGTCAGCTTGAGGTTGGACATGGATTCAGGAATCTGCCAGCCTCCCACAGAGTGTGCGCATGTGTGTGCGTAACTGATGAACCCATGGGCGCATGTGCGATGCGTGTCATGATTCATATATAAAAAAGCTGATGTCACCAATGCCAAGTATCACTAAATTTTGTTCCAAATTAAGAAGCTTTCACAAATTCTTGTGATGTTCTAGATGATTTTGCACAGACTTTTTGAAAACATATTATCTATGATTGTATTGTATTGGGTCGTATGCAGCAATGAGTTCAAGTCACAGGCCTCGGGTGATCTCATCCAAGAAGAGATTCACGAAGCATGTAAACTTGTCGCCAAAGACTGCATGCACATGACGAAGGATCTCGTACATGACATCGGCAAACTGGGGCTGAGAGCAATGCAACATACAGGATGCAGCTGCCTGAGGGTCTGGACTGCCGTCAAAACCAGAACATGTGCAAACTGCATTCAAGATGGCAGCTTTGATCTTCCCGAATGTTGCATGCGACGTCACTTTCAAACACTTGTCGGTGTGAGCAATCTCTTCGGGCTCAGAACTCATCCAGGCACGAATTTCGTCACTCCATTTCTGCAGCTTGTCATCGGCAGACATGTTTTGGTCCACGTACATGCTTTCATTGTAGCTCGACACGGCCGCCTCCAACTGTCTCAAACCTGCCGTTGATCCTCCTGATGCATCTTCCTTCAAAGCATTGTCAAGCTTCGCTTTCATCACCTATCAGTGGGCTGGCATGAAGCAGTGAAGCAAACAATTGATAATGACTCTAAAACATCAAACCAACAAATATATCATCAGTTGTTGCTGATACACAAGTGAAATACACAGTGATAACTTATCAAGAATCAACATGTATCATCATCAGGTGTTACAATGTTATCATCCTTACGGCCATCACCATGGTCATCAAAAAAAAGATACGAGCATTTTTAACGTCCAAAAACACATCATCACACCTGAATGAGAATCATCATAGCGTGTTCTTTCAATGCTGGACGCAAAGTTGACCACTTCTTGTGTGTCTTTGTTGACTTGCCGGTCTCCAGGACAACAGAACCTTTCATAGCAAACAGCAAGCCTGTGCGGATCAGCTGTGACTTCAAACTTTCAATGTGCTCCTTCTCCACCCCCATGCGAGCCACACTTGAACAAACATGATTCGTGCAAGCCAGCAGATCATCTAACCATAGTTTCTGACGGACGCCCACTGCACAAGCAATTGTCGCATCGTGTACATGTTCTTCATGTGGTAGATTCGGCACACTGACTTGGCTTCCAGAAGAGGGAGTGGAAGCGGCCTTGGCTTTGGCCTTTCCCTTCGCCTTGGCCTTGGCTTTGGGATTTGCCTTAGCCGCAGGTGTCCTCTTCGCAGAGCCAGTAGTTACAACGCTTCCGCTCATTGGAGTCAGCAATCGCACGAACATGTTTTTCTTGGATGACGTGTCGATGATCCAATTGGTCTCAGAGTTCTCTTCCAGCAAGGGCACCTTTCATGACTATAGTATTGTGTTGGGACAACATTGAACAACATAAATCAAAAAACTTACAAGCAGAAACCCGTTCAACAATCCGATAGCCCGATAGCAGAGGGCCACATCATCTACTTTGATAAGTGTCATAGAAGCCATCAAACAAACACAATCTTTGACACAAAACTGGAACAAACCTGATATTGAAATGCATCCGAACTACGCACAGCTTCGTGACTTCAAGAAGCAACACTCGCATATCGGCAAGATCAACTCCATCAAAAAGAGCAGTGGTGACGGCGTTCACTCCATGGATGATGCAAGCAAGAACCGATGAATTGCACAACCTGGGGTGTAGAAAGTCCACTGTTTCACCCAACTTCTGAATGATGCCTGATGGTCCCTTCAACATGCCCCACTTCTTCTCAAAGGCATTGTAGCATCCACGAGCTGCCTCGAAAAGAACCCAAGATGGAAACATCTCGCCAAATTCCAGGTTGGATCGGATGAACTCTGCACCTCGGGAATTGGATGGTCCAGTGGATTCAAAATTTCTGTCAATGGGATAATGAGAATGTCATCACATCACGTAGTTCAACAAAAAAACAACTTGAGGTTGTCCATCATGTGTATGTGTCTGTGGTTGCTGTGACCAATGTTTGTGTAATCCATATCAATACCAGTAATACCCGCACGAGGCGGGGCGGAAGTTGCCTTAAAGATATATATAAGACCTTTCTCATCTATAGAACTTGCATGCGCCGTGCGCCAGCCAAGCCCGTGCGTGCGTGCACTCTGCGAAAGTGGTGTCCTGTTTCACATGTCACATTTGAAGGTCCACTTCGCCCTTCACACTTCTCACTGCACTCTTCACACTCAATATTTGTGTAATCCATATCAATATCATCACACAGTGAGAACAAACACCGGTGACACATGCATACGCATAGGCCTAATCAAGGCCAGTGGCATTTAGTCTCGTAGTCACGCTGCGACCATTTGATGCCAGTCGCCTGCTTGTAGGCTTGCAGCGCAGCTTCAACCTGCAAATCATTTTTGATGCTGTTTTGATGTATCAATGTATGAATCGATGGGTTGCCAGTGGTGGGGTGTTGGGGGCGAGAAGGGATAACCTGGTAATCACACAGTATCATCATCATCATCGTCATCGTCATCATCATCATCATCACCATCATCATCATCATCTTCATATTCATATTCATCACCATCCTCATCACCCTCATCATTGTCATCAAAAGCAACAACAGACCTGGTTGTACATAGTTTGAACTGAACAGCATTATGTATGTCAATGTTCCTGGTTGTGCAGTTTTGCACTTTTGCACATATAAGTCTCAGGATGTGGTACACCAGTACGGAGCAGTCATGTCAGGCAGCCAGCATGACATGTACACAAACAGAGGAATCAACACAACATAAGAATCAATTTTCCAAACTTTTCCGATCAAGAACGCAACTGAACTCATCGAGACACATCTGGGACCACACCCAAAAGATCCACGAAAGATGTGGAGGATCCTTGATGGAATCTGTTGTGGAGGTGCACCAAGTATTTCAACACAGCGGGCGGTGCCCGGCTGTGAAGAATTCGGCACTCCAGGCCTTTGTTGAGAGTCAACCGGAGGTTGGGGTTCTCACCATCTTCATCTAACGCACTGTAAAAAGACTCCACCAATGAAGCGAAAGAAAGTGCTTCGTATGGTCCTGCTTTTTCTCCGGTCTTGGGATCAATGCCAGGTTCACAAACCCAGGGCTCACCGCGGACCCCTTCCACTATGCCTCGGAGCTTCACCGACTGTTTGTAGCACTCACGTACTCCGTTTTGGACTCGATTGTTCAATCGATGACGCACTATGTTCTTCATGCGGGGGTCGCTGGGAATTGTCAAGGGTCCAGTAGGTGGTTGCTCCGTGAAGAAGCGCACCCTGGTTTTTTCTGTACCTACCTATGCCGGGTAGTGATGAGCAAGAGTCAGTGACTGAACAAACCTGACAGATGGACCCATGTATGGATATTCAAAGAACTGAAGAAGATATTGTTCAACAATAAACTCAACACTAAATGTTAGATCACTGGTCACCATGTTTTAAAGTAAAGGTATTTGGAAATGAGATTGAGTCATAGTTCAGTGATTCCTGCTCATCTGAATGGACCCGCCGCAAACATACTATCATGAATCTTTCTATCTGTATATATATATATATATGCCCTGGCCCTGGCCTGATAGGTGTTCCAAATTGCTTCAAGTAGAATGCGTCCTTTCAGGTCACCAAACACATCGCTGACACTAGCATCTTGCTTGTAGATGTCGACACCATCTTTCGCTTTTGCAGCCCTCTGCTTCTTGATGGCGGGCACCCCATCTGCACCATCAGCGAAGTCTGCCATGATGTCACTAGATACAAGTCGGATGTCAGAGAAGCAGTGAACAAGGTAACGCAACAGTCACACTCCCAGACCAGAGAGACGGTTGATCTCAAATGAGTCTACGGACGGATCGCGCACTTGACTGTGCTGACATCATTTGAACAAGTCGAATAGAATGGTTTCATTCTCATTAATCGGATCGATCATCACAATCATCACATCAAACGCCAATGTTTGTCCATGACAAGTCGTTCGAAATCAATACCGCAACAGCACCAACATCAATAGACCATACACTTTCACTAGTTCAACCTGACAATTACCATGGTCAATGGTCAACTGTCAACATTGATATCATGGTTTCTCGGCGATGATGTTTCAAACTTTTTTCCAATGATGTGATCAACACTTGTCACCACCACCTGTTCTGTCTGAGCTATGGACCGAATTATGTCCATCTGTCGATTGACGCCGCCTCAGCTGATGATTCTGAACACTGGAAATGTACATAAACCTGATGTGGTAACGTGGTATCTGATTTGTTTTTTCTTTTTAACCGTATCATTATCTTTAAGTCAATGTATGTATACAGATTGGATTTCTATATATATATATTATATATATATATAGTATTCAAAAACAAAACCCGGGTACGACCTGAAGCCATACTGGGTGGACTTGACCATTGAGACTGACCACCCGGATGGATTATGCTACTTTTGTTGCTCACTGGCGCGAGGCTTGTAGCATACCAGGAGGATGTTTGAAGGTTCTGGGCCGAGATTCTTTGCACAAAACGGACAGTGTTCACAACACAGTTGCTGTGTGGAACGTCACGCGGTGCGATTGAACATCTCAACAACTATTGCATCAAGCTTATTCCAAAACAACAACAATCGAAACAAATCAGATACTAGGGATTAATCGTATACTTCGAATTGTGAAAATAACATAACTATCTTTTAGCATTACAACAAAATACAACTGAGATGAGATCAACGTGGTTGTGTTGAACCAGTTTGTGTTGTTCGTGCTTAGGATGATCTGCTCATCCTCAGTTGAGTCTCAATCGCTTTGAGCCATTGCATGTGGCTGCCTTGTATTTGGAACTCCCAGGCAAAAAAACACCTTGGCACACATTGTCACCCTGATGTCGGTGATTGCGATTCATCAGGCGCAATCTTTTGACTTTCACTCGTTGCAGTGCCAATATGTCACTGTCCATGATCACCTGGGTTAGGATGAACAAAATCATTACCCCAGAACATGAAACATGCATCGAATTACCAGCTTGCGTCCTCATCGCATTTCTCGAAGGCCACTGATTTGGAGATTGCCCCCAAAATTCTTTGGCCCATCTCAACGCGAATGAACTACATGGATATCCATGGGTATGCAATGTTGTCACCGGGAAGCCCTGCACTGTGAGTTGCTCAAGATGTGTCATCCATCTCTTGTGAACATGGCTCATCAGAAAGTTGGTTGACGCCGTCAGCGTCATCAACGACTGTCAGGGTTGATGCAGTTGATGCATTAAACTGACCGTGTTTGTTCAGATATTCAAAGTGAATCAAAATGGTAAATCACAGAAAGAACCATATAAATAGATCACGATAGCTAATCCTTGTTTCAGATTTAAGTTTTCATAAGCAACTGCATTGTTGATAAACGTAGCTGTGAAACAAAAGGAAAGTGACTTCCGTCTTTTGGTTGTCAGTTGTCAAGAACAGTCAGGGATCAATAATAATTCAGAAAACCAACATCATGGTCCGATAGACAAACATTTTTTTGGATACAAAACCCGTTCCTGGCCCTTCGCATATGTTGGTCGACCTGTTGGAGATTGAGTCAAGGAATAGATAGTGTCCGGGAACTTGTCAGTGTAGCCCATGTAGCTTTGTGTCTCCCACCCCGTGAGACATGATACAAAAGGTTCCGGGTCAGTCAGCGCAGGACAGTCCTTGCCACTTGCCTCACTATCCCAAAGACTGCCAGAACGTGAGGATGCCCAAGCAAGTTCATCGGTCAATGCGTCCTCGTCGTTCCTGAATGAGTCATGTTATGACTGGGTAATTGGGTTGTTGGTTAGAGGAACTCAATTTGGGAATACAATAGTTTTCATGGGGAATGGACACACCAAACCAAATGAATTATGACTAACAGACTAACAGACTAACACCGCTCAGATACTCCCAGAAGAACATTGTCCAATCCGTAGCACACTGCCGGGCAAATAGACCAGTGAACATGTTCAGCAAGCTTCTCCATCCCAAAGTCTTGGTTTTGTGCCTTCCCCTTAGTGACTTAGTGGAGGGTGTGGTGTGGTTGGCAAACATAGCACGATTCCAGACATTGGTTGTCAAGATTTCATGATTAATCTCATATATGATATCTAAATAGAAATTGGATGTTCAGTTGGAAATTCAGTAATCTTGACAAACGACATTTTGTGTTACTAAGTCAGATTAGTGACACCATCCATTGACGGGGGCGTTTCACAGGCCAGCCGTAAGTGTAGGGATCTAGTACCTCCGCCATGAAGTCATACTGGGGGAGCACCTTTGCGAAGATGTCCCGGGGAAAACCCTTTGTGCATTCCTGAACAATGATTGGTTCCTCCAGGGCCCGCCTGAGCCCTGCCCATGCCAAGAAATGTGCAAAACTCATTGCCTCTTCGGCATCCATGAAGCCCATGCTACTGTAGGCTGTGCAGGGAGAACCCAGCAGGTTGGCCATCGCCGGGTTTGTGCGGACATCACATGTTTTGCCATGACGTTTGCAATAGCCACACCTACAAATGGTAGAATGGCAGATAACTCTAATCAACATCAAAGTATCCCGATTTCAAAAATCACATAACAAAACAAAACATAACATAAAATAACATGTGACTGTGTCAATAAGGAAAGACACGTTTGAATCGCAACTCCTGCAACTACTAGTTCCATCAACTTTGTGGTCAACAAGTTCTTGCTGCGAAATTCTTCGAGATTGGCTTGAATGGATGGTACAAAGAACTGTGCTAGGTCTCCAAATAGGCAGGTTGGTGGATGGGGATGGCTCTCGCATTCGAAAGATGCTGCTGCGTCCCATTCCTCATTCAAATTCGAAAGAGAACATCTATTTAATTCTTGTTCAGTGCTGGGAACGCTACGGAAAGCTAGACAAACAGTCATGTTGCTGCAAGAACAAATGCAACAACTCCTTGGAATATAAATCCAGGTTCCATCGCGTGCACATGTTCTGGATGAATATCTGAATTCCGTGGGCGCGTTGCCGCAATGAGTGCTGCCCGGATTTGAGCGAATGATGTCCCTGGCAAGTCTATGCCGGAAAATGCCGTTGAATACGACATTGTACGGACACGGGATCTTAGGCTCCTAAGGTAGGACCAAGCACTGTCACCAAAGCTTTGGTCACGGTCTTCACATTCAGCGTCACTATCAGTATCATCATCAGAACCCACCTCCGAGCTTGGAAGTTTGAGAGAATCATCCAAGCCAACATATGTGTGCAAGAAGTCATCAGGCCATCCTAGGATGTTAGGACTGTAATGATTGGTTTGGCGCAACGCTTGACCTGACGATCCTAGAATTTAGTGACCTTGTTGATCTTAAAACTCTCATTACATTAAAATCAGTTCACACAAATCACAAATGATCGGACATCATCAAACCATAAACAACAAAAATAAATACCCGTAGACAATGTTTTAGTGCTATCAGCCAAAGTTCTATTGGCAGACTCGAAATCTTTGACAACATATGCGGCGGCAGTGGATCTAGCACCTGGATCGCCCACACAATGGCCCAACTTTCCTGAGGTTCCTGAGGAATCTGAACGATCAGCGTTGCCCGTAGACTGGAGGTCTGCTGTAGACTCTGGTGCCGGGATAGATGTAGACCTGCAAGCGGATGCATTGAATGACTGCTAATGTTAATTGTTGATTGGCTGAGATTGGTTAGTTCAAGTACGTACATATACAGACAGATCCTGCAAGTGGCATGTAAAACACAAAATGATCATCATCATCATCATCATCACCATTATCATCATCATCATCATCATCATCACCATCATCAACACCATCGTTATCAAAGCAGTGTATTACATGAGATTCTATCTAGTCTGCCGATAATAATTGAAATAGAAAAAATAAACACTTGATAAATCGATAAAACAAAATCTTCAAAGGTTTCTAAGTTGAGAATAGGAACTGAGTTTGGGTTTTCTCATCTGAACTGGCTGCCTGGATATGCTGACCTTTGTCGTGATGTTCATCAACCTGGTCAACCTGGTTCGTATCCTGCGGGGTCTTCTCCATGTGCGTCTCATCACAAGTATTCATGTTCCCATTCGCATGTTGAGGTTCTTGTGGTGTTGTTTCCGCATGGGTTTCATGTTTCTGCAGGATCTTCTCCGCATGTGTCTCATCAACAGTGTTCATGTGGGGGCTGACATGTTCTGGTCCCTGTCCCTGTGGGGTCTTCTCCATGC